TTATTAGGTTTTCAAACAAAGAGATGGGATACTGAGGAAACCATGGGAAATGAGCAGGACCTTGGGAGTCACTTCACAGACTTCTCCAAGTAGTGAATTATGCTAATTTAGGAAAACTGTCTTATCTCCATGATGACACTTATGCAAGAGTGAGATGCCTACAGCTGTAGTCTCTGTCTACTTAATTGGTATTTGAGTCAGGTGTCCTCAGCTGTGGCCTTATCTTGCCTTTTGAAGTATGTCTGGCCTCACAGGCCACTACAGGCGTTAGCCAGGACCAGAGATTAATAGAGGTTCACTTACTATGAATCAGCTCCCATAGCCAGGCAAAGGGCCTAGGCCTAGTACAGTCTCACAGATAAATAAAGAAAGCCAATCAGCTAATTTTAAATCCTGCTCAGAGCCACTTCATAGTAGTCTCCGACAGGTACAGATGTCACTAATCAATGGGTTTGTAGCCTATTTGCTATAAAAGGGAAAGGCAGGCTAGGTCTTGCTGCTTCACTGTCTCCTGCCTGGTTTCCATGGGCTCTTTCTCCTCTTTGATGCTCTCTGCCATGCCATCCTTCCTTAGAGTCAGCCAACTATGGACTGAAACTTCTCCAAACTATGAGTTGAAATAAACCTTTTGTCCTTTAACTTTGGTGAAAGGAATTTTGTCTCAGCAAGGAAAAAAATAACTAAGAAAGTCATTTAAGCCACTGTGTTCAAATTAACCTGTTATAGCACCAGTAGGAAACTAATAAAGCAGGACATAATTTTGAGGCTTCTATTTCCTAACTTTGTGGCCCTCACTTGGCCTGAGCCTGAATCAGAATAAAGTTTGTATAAAATCTGGAAGACATAGAGAAGCAATTAGAAGTCACACAAGTGGTTTTTCTGAAAAGATGGCAACTAACGTAAAAAACAACTTTATAAGGATGTAAAAGTAATTGTATAGAAATAATATCTCAAGTAAGAAAAAAATCAACAACATAATGAAAGAATTGTTGAGTATATCTAAAGAAGGCACAGATAAAAAAGAAGAGCATAGGAAATAATGCAAATTTAGAATGAACAATATAGGAAGGAATTACAGTGCTTGACACAGATTCAATGAGATATCTAGGAAATTAAAAACTCCATTGAAAACTGGTAAAATTTCTTGAAAGAAACTGAAGATGGACTTTCAAACTTGAAGACAGGATTGCAGCTAGCAATTGTGAAGGAAAAGCTCTCTTAAAAAAACATAAAACAAGGAACCAGGAAATAACAATTCAATGGCTGCAAGAATACTCAAAGAAACATAATTTAAGAGTGATTAGGTATCAGCAAAGAAGCGGGGATCAACACAAATGAAAATAAAAAGGCTATTTACAGAAGTAATAGCAAAGGCAATACTGGGCAATAAAAGCAAGGCAGGAGGCATCTCAATTCCTGACTTGAAATTATACTATAGAGCTACAGTGATAAAATCAGCATGGTACTGGCAAAGAAATAGATCTGAGGATCAGTGGAACAGATTAGAAGATGCAAACACAACTACAAAGACACTCAGCCACTTTATATTTGACAAAGGGGCTAAACATGTTCACTGGAAAAAGGATAGCCTCTTTTTGGTGTTGGAAAAATTTGCTCTCCACATGTTGAAGACTGAAACTGGCTCCAGGCCTATCACCATGCACTAAACTAACGTCAAAATGGTTAAAGATCTAAGTATTAAAACAGAAACACTAAATCTACTGGAGGGCAAAGGAGGTAGAAATCTTGGAGACACAGGGGTAGGGAAAGAGTTTATGAACAAAATGCAAACTGCACGGGAAGTACTTCAAAGTACTGGGATCTCAGCTTATTAAAAAGTTTTTGCACGTTTAAAGAAGTCACCAACAAAATGAAATGAAAACCCACAGAATGGGAAAGAATTTTATCCAGTAGTCCCTCAGACAAAGGACTTATATCCAGAACATACAAAGAATTGAAAAACATCAAGTCCTCCAAATGCAAAGACCCTCTCCAAAAATGGACATCTGAGATGAACACACAGTTCTCAGATGAAGACATACAAGTGGGAAATAAATACATAAAGAAATATTCACCATCACTGGTCATTTGAGAAATGCAAATTAAAACAGCATTGGGATTTCATCTCACTAGAGAAGGAGTGGCTGCCATCAAGAAATCAACTGATAACAAATGTTGGTGAGGCTGTAGGCAAAAAGGGACACTTCTCCACTGTTGGTGGGAGTGTAGAATGAACAATATAGGAAGAAATTACAGTGCATGACACAGATTCAAAGAGATATCCAGGAAATTAAAAACTCCATTGAAAACTGGTAAGATTTCTTGAAAGAAATTGAAGATGGACTTTCAAACCTTGAAGACAGTGCAGCCACTGTGAAAATTAGTATGGAGATTCCTCAACAAACTAGGATTGCAATTCCTTTCAATCGAGCTGTTCTCCTCCTGGGTATTTCCCAAGAAAAGGTCAAGTGATAGTGATATATGTGTACCATGTTTACAGCAGCACAATTTGTAATAGCTAAATCTTGGAAACAACCAAAATGCTCATCAACTGCAGAACAGATGAAAAAAGATGTGATATTTTTATACATTAGATTATTACTCAACCATAAAAAGGAGATATTGAGGCTTGGTAAATGGAGGCAACTTAAGAATATCCTCATAAGTGAAATAAATGAGATTCACATTTGTAAATATCATAGTCTCTCTAGTGTGAAAAGTAAATAATAATAAAAATTGAAAGAGTAAAGGGAACTAAAATGTATAATAGACATTGTAATAATGAACGAGAAAGAAAAGTACTGAAAAGGAAAAAAAATTATAGGTATGCACATATAACTGTATATATCTTTAAGTGTGCAAGATAGACAACCATGCTACTAATTTTTTGTTGGTTCATCAAATAGAATAATTTGTGCTGTCATTGATTATTTGTTCATTTTTTATGCTTTGATTTTGTAACTTGAATGACTGCTTCTAAGATAACAATATGTAATTTATCAACTAGAGATTTCTTACTATTATTTTTTGAAATTCTGTATCATTTCTACCCTTTTTTCTGTTTTGCTTTTCTTCTATAAATAAAAAAAAGAAAGAAATAAGAGTCAGTCCCTGATAATTTAAATTTAGTTTTTAGAGTGGAGAGAGTGAAAAACATACCTAAATATCATAAAGGGTTAGGTTGGCTGCACTAGCAGTATGCTTAGGGTTTCAGTTAGGACATAGAGGAGGAAGTGGTCAGTTTTTCCCAGGCAAAAAGTTCAGGATAAGAATGCGGAGAAGGGAGCAGCTTGAAAACATGTAAACAATGCCAAGTGGTTAAGCAAGATAGGCATTCGGGAACAGCACCAGCAAAGGCATACAGATGACCTCATGGGCTAAGATGACAGGAGTATACAGGGCGGGGGATAGGACTGTGCTAATGATGACATGCTTGCTAAGCAGTGAACTAACAAATTCACTGGCAAATCATCCTTGACTATTTACCCATTCCATGCATGGTAGGTACAGGATGTATGGTGGTGGTCTCTGCTTTGGTGGGACTGTCATTCTGATTAATCATGGAGACCTCCTGTGGGAAATGGACTTTATTACAGGGGAAACTGTCATGATCTGATTTTTATCATTCAGATGACGGTATGAAGCAGTGTTTGGAGTGGGTACAATCAAGGGCAGAGAGACTAGATGAATCCTTGTTAATTCAAAGGAGAGGAGCTGAAGAAGGGCACTAAGGGCAAGGATGGAAGGAAGAAGCAAGCTTTGATATGAGGATTGATATCTGGCTTGAATTTATAATCTTGGTGACTAATTGGGCCCCAGAGGTAAAGGAGAGGATGAAACCTAAGTGGCTTGAAGTGATCTACCTTGTGAGAGTGGTGCTTTCACTGGCTTTGCGGGATTAATCTGTTTTTTCCAACCAAGCAAGAGTTCAGGGTGCTGACCTCTGCTGGAGTGTGGTGGTCTAGAAGCTGATATCTCCTGAGTGAGTGGTGGAAGTGGGTGGGTTTGGGGAAAGAATTCAGTAATCTGAATTATTTTGATTCAGCGGTTCATCCTTGCCCTTTCCCAATCCACTCATTTCCAACCATTCACTCTAAATACAGGACTTCCAACCTAGGCTCAGGACCCTACCCGTTGGACTTAGTTTTGCCTGTATGAGTGCCTTTTAAAACTTTCTTGCATTTGCTAAGATGGGCAAATGGCATTAAATGTTCCACAAGGAAGATTAATAGTAAGAGAGATGAGTTGTAGGCAATTTTGGACATAAAAAGGTGCTGGCACTATTATTTCCCTTATATTTTTAATTTTTCCTTAATGTTTAGCAAGGTAAATCTTGTTAGGGGCCAGACATCCCCCATTTCTCAGGGGACGTGAAGTGATGACTCTGCCCATGGCAGCTGCTTGGTCCCACTTTTAGACCTGCCTTTCATAAATGGTTACTTCCTCCCAGGTTACTCCTCAGAAACAGTTACATGCTATAGCATCTCTAGGTTACAGAAAGAGCAAGACCAGGCTTAAAGTCAGGAAGGATGACTAGGGAACAATGAGGTAGTTAGATATAATGTAGATTTGGGGACTGTTTTTCATAATTAGAAAGAAATAATAGATGCAGAAAAACCACACAGATCAGACTGGAAGGTTGAAAATAGAGAGAGTCACCACACTGGAAATTCAGCAACAATGGATTTTCATTCTGTAACATTCCCGAATCACAAACAGATGAGGAAGGAAAACTAGAGAACAAAAGAGGTTTGCACAGCAGGTGAGAAATACAATTTTGAATATATTGATTTTGAAATGATTGTGGGGCTTTCTAGAAATTAATAAAATAAAAGACCAACACACATTCTGGAAGAATAGCTTTGGCTCTAGCTGTGACATTTGGAGGGTCTGGCCTGTTCTATGCCACACACAGGTTGTGAGGGCGAACAGAACACATATGAATGCATTTTTTGGGAAAAACTTTAAAGCTTAGGTACATCCTTTATTTTACTGCTGTTTCAAGAATTATAGAATCATTTCTGTGTTCCCTACAGTCAGAGAGAAGAGTATTTTTCTGCTGTGAAGAAGACAATGACTTGCTCATTATTTTCCTGTTACTCCACCCCATGACCCCTGCACAGATGCTGAGGTCTGAGGTTTTTGTGTGTCTCTCTTTGGTGCTTGGATCACTGTGAGTGTAGAGAATGCACAGAAGTATGTGGCAGCATCCCCCAGATTTGAGTCTGAGATCTTGAGACTGAAGGACTTTGCTGCTTTCTGGAAGTTCACAGAGAAGCGAGCCTCAGTTGCGTTCTGCTGCTTGTAAGCGTCTTGGCGGATAATGAAGATCATCTGCCCACTGGGAGGTTGCTTGTACCAGAACAAGTAATAATTGGTCTCCGAAGTGTCATATGTGCAGTCCAGGGTTGCTGTTGCTGCCTCTGGTATGGATATTTCTGGTCGAGACTGAGTGACTTTCTGGGCCACACTGATTCCTGTGGAAAAGAGGTGAGAGAGGAATCTGTTGGGATATTGTCCTGGAGGGAGAAACAGACTTACAAGCTGGCTTCCATCCCCACCCACTTTTACTTTTGATTCAAACCTTGTAAGTCATGGTGATTCTTGATTCAAGCTTTGTGTTAGATTTTTTTCCCCTGTAGTTGGACCTGATGTAAAGATTAGATCCCTGTGATGTTAGTCTATTTGCCTACTTCCCAGTCGAGTTGAATACTAGTAAAAATAAATACATTGCCTTCTTACCAAGAGAAGTGGAGAGCACAAGTGCCCACAGCAAGCTGAGAAGTGCCATGCCAGCGGCTCTTTCCTGTGGGGTGAAACAGCTCATGTTCTGACTGGAGCCTGGGTGTCTGCTGGCCCATGGCCTCACTGCTTCAGAACAGGAAATGACTGTGTATGGGTGGGCTGACAGCTCCCTTAGCAAAGCTTATCAATGTGCTTCATCTTTAGCTGTAGAGAATAAAACTTTGAGTATAATGTCAAGGGAAAAAGGATGCTGTCAGAGCTATAACTTATTCTGGAATAAAAGTGAAGGAGAAAAGGAACTGATAAATTGTTTTCTTGAAGACACAGTTTGAGAAAATAAGACAGAGGGGAGAAGAGGCAAAGCTAATGTAATGACTCAAATTTTCCCTGTAAGCTTTCTTTTTCTCTTTATTCCTCTTTCAGTTTCCTCCCTCCCTCTTTTCTTCTTCCTTTTTCTTTCTTTCCGCTCTTACTCCTTGACTCCTTTCTTGAAGTCAGTATCATAAAGTGATCTCTATGTTTTGATAGCATCAGTATTGATTACGTTATCCTTTGATCAATGCTTCATTTTAATCCTATTGAGAAATTAAATAATTTTGAGAGATAATTAAAAGTGATGATGGCAGCAACAATGGCACTAAGTCTAGAGAAAATCTGAGCCAGAATTGTGGCATCTAACTGTGCCATTATTCACTGGACACTTTTCTTTTTGTAAGGAATTCCAGGATTGGCTGTGTCAGGGAGCTTTACAACACCGATGATAAAAGCTCGTATAAAGACTTTTGTACATGTTTCTTAATGACTGTGTGAAAGAAAAATAAAAATTAACATAAACTTTATTTGAGAACATTCTTTGTTGCACACCTGACAGATTTTTATTGTCATCTCATTTTTCTTCATACATGCATGTTTCTAACAGAGACAAAAGGTCAGGAATCACAGCCCTCATTTGATAGAAGAGGCAGCTGAGCAAAAGTGAAAACTCACAATGCAAGGAGCCATTAGTCTAATTTGCGTGAATTTTCTCTGCCTGCTAAATTTGTGTCATTCAAGGCCATCTCCACAGTCCAGCTTTAAGTGAACTTTCCTTGCTGGTAAAACACTAAATGGAACCAAAGACTAAATTAAAAGCATTCCTGTGTAGAAAGTAGTGACCTTTACCATCTTTTCTGGGTTTTTTACTTTCATTTAGAAAAAGTAACAAATAGCGGGTCTTGTTGAAGGTAGAACAGGTCTAGCTGTTGCGTTTGTTTTCCCAGGATGTGTGTTTTTATTTTATTCTTTGTTAATATTTATTTTTATTAGTGCATTTTTGTGGTATGTAATAATTACCTCCATTTGAGGAATGCATATTTATATAATTTCTTGATCATTGTTGACCTCTTTATTCTCTTTACCTTCTTTGGCTCTTGTTTACTCAGTGATTAAAGTTCTGTCCTATCTACCACTTTTTTCTGGCCGAAGACACAGAAAAGTGGGCAAACACGTTATGCTTCACAATTTCCTCTTTCCAATCGCTGTGAGAACTCTAGAGATGATCTGCTGGATTCTTTTCCAGACTCAACTAAGTCAGGCTGTGAATTCACTAAGGAGGGTCTCAAGATTAAATTTATTCTTGTCTCTTGCCTGGGCTCACTGTGCCCATCATGTCACTTGGGATTCCAAGCCAGAGGATCAGCCTTGGTGTTTAGATCGTTTCCTGGACTTCTGGGTCTGGACAAGCAGAATTTAAATACCCTATGTTCATCATAGGTTTCAAGCTTCTACATAATTAATTAAGTTATTGAGCTCTGCAGATCAAATCAACTGTTGTTCATGAAAGACCTTTTAAATCGGTAAGTGATGCACTCTGTGATGAATAAACAGCCTACCTTTCCTACAATCAGAACCTCTCTGGGAAGCCTGAGGAATTCCAGTGTTCTCAAGTTAGCAAGCATATGTAACAAATACAGCCTCAGGATTCCTCACCAGAGTTAGTTAGGCTTTAAAAAGTGAAACATGGAGAAAAAAAAAATATGAGCATGAAGTGCCTTCCACCATGCTCTCATGGGAGAACTTGTACAGATGCACAACAGCAGTTAATGACACCAGGGGAAGAAGGTGCTCCAGACATCAAGAGGAAGGTGCTCCTCTCAATTGATGGTTAATCACTCATGTATCATTTTGGTGTTCTAATGACTGTGATTCACCATATGAATTTACAGTTTTCTCATCAGAGGTGGTGATGGATATGATTCGATAACCTCCAGAACAGAGGTCCTAGTGTAGAGTGCTGGAGAGATGAATTTGATTGCTCCCTGGGGAATGGTTCTCTACTGCACAGAGGCAGGAGGCTGGTCTCTTGGCTGGGTGGTCTGGAAGTGCAGGGGGTGGTGGAGTTGGCATTTAGTTCTGATGGAGGTTGCTGATGTATTTTGTGCTACATTGCCTAGCTAAGAAGAGAAAGAAAGGTGCCAGATTTATTCTAGATATGATTCATCCTTTACTTGTGGATTTAAAATACTGTTCAAATAATTACAGTAGACAATAAAATTCTCTCCCTCCTAGGTGGTTAGTTAAGATGCACTTCCCTCGTTTTAAGCTAATTAAAAGATAAAGTTAAAAGGTAGATGCATTTCTTTGTTGAGTCCCATCTGCAGAAGACACAGTCCAGTCCTCAGAACCCTCTGGTCTTCTGGGTTCCTGGTGATCTTAATTCATGCAGCTCATATCCACCAGATCATAAATGTGGCTCCTAGAAGCACAGTGCTCTTCCCGTGCTTCCCTTTATGCTACAGTTTCCAAATTCATGAAAATGTGAGCGTAAGCTTTGGAATCTGACCTAGACTGTTCAGATAAATTGGTTTGTTCCAGTTTTTTGGTGTGCGTTAGGAATGGAGAAGATTCTTTGCCCTGAGAGGGGCTGCTGCCAGTAAGCGGAAGCAACCATCGCCCTCTTGAGGCCAAAGAGTCAACTGCCCTGGAGGTTACTCTTTCTAAAGGGAATACCTTGGCTTAGTCACGAAATTTGTTCTGAAACTAATCTGCTTAATATGAGTCTCAGATTTGTGTTTGCACCAAATAAAAATAAATTGGCATGTATAACTTTCCTTTTATCCCTGCACTTTAAAATCAGCTTGTATCATATCTCTTCACGGAAGCCTTCCATGTTAGAACATACTTAGGTTTCCCCTTAACGTTCTCTCAGGAATACAGGGTGGTTATGAAATAAATTCGAAGCATGATCTTGGGTTTCTGTCAACAATTCCTATGTGGCTCGCACTGCTAAGGACAGTGAGGAATGTTGAAGCGCACACCGAAGCACAGGTCCCCTGGAGAGGGGTGGTGGGCATCTGCGAACAACAGCAAACGGCTGAAGGCATCACCAAGAGTCAAACTGGTACAAATTCAGTGCTGTGTGATACTGAAAGAAAGAATTGAAGGATTTGTTTACTAGCAGAGAAGATCTCTTAGAGAAAATGGAACTTTAAGGTGAGCATTATAGGATTAATATAACCTTATCAGACTTAAATACACATAAAAGGGAAATCTATCTGCACAGAACAACCAGTGGAGAAAAGGTTAAGCTGACAATGAATTGAATTTGCCTAAGTGTCAATCAAGAGAATAGGTTCCTGTAAGAAAGGTATATTTGGGGGAAAGGAAGGAATGAAGCTTAAATAATAAAGGATAACAATAGTGGTTATTATCGAGAAATAGATTCAGTGAGGAGTTTAGATTTGGTTAGCTAAGTTTTTAGCAGTGGAAAATATGTAGACATATGTAGAGACTGGAGGTTGATAAATACTATCTGCCTCGCTATCTTCTGAAAATATAGAGATCTTTAAAATTAATCACTTGTGTCTACCTGCCTTTATTACTGTGTTGCAGAGGCTGTTAAGGCAGGAAGTAAGAGAATTTACCAAGACTAGAGTAAGGAAAGGACAGATTTATTGAATATACTGCCAGAGAAGGGGCAGTGGGCAAGAGAGTTCTGCCCACAGGAGCAGGGGTAGGGGGCGGTGTAGGCTGGAAGAAGGGAGGGGCTCCTTTGGTACACTTTGGAAGACCTAGAAAGTTATAGATTAAGGAGCATTGGAAAGAAAATTTTAGGATGATTGGCGTAAGACTATATTTGTCTTCTCTGAAGTGTGAGTACATGGTACCCTCGGTGAGATTTTGGTGTCTGGCCATAGGGTAGTACAACAGTCACTCTTGTTAGGAAAGGAGCACTAACGACTGTTTTGTGCAGGTTTTTTCAACATCTCATTCGGATGTAGAGTACATGCCTCTGAAGTGTGTCCAAATGGCGGTGATCTTAGTCACTTTTCTTGTTGCTAGAGCAAAATACCCGACGCTTAAAGTTAGAGGAGGAAAGGTTTATTTAGCTCATAGTTTGTAGAGGTGTTAGTCTATAGTTGACTGATTCCAAAGCAGAGTGGTGGGTAGCATGGCAAGGGGGCATCACAGGAGAAACGGACCATGAGAAGGCAAGCAGGAAGCAATAACCAGCCCGCAGCAGCAGTAGCAGGCTCCTTTTTCCTTTTATCTCATCTAGGCTTTTGTGTGGTGCCACCCACACCCAGGATAGGCCTTCTCATTATCCACACCCACAACTATGAAAACCAATTAGTGGACTGCAGTAGCCTGGGACTGCAAGGAAAACAAGACCATACAGGATGCATAATTTCTAGCATGAATTATAATGGTCACCCAAGGAGTCAAATACAAAGAAAGTGCAGGAAATCTGTCCACACACTAAAGACGTAGAGAATCCAGCCAAGAGGCTGGATCCCATGGCAATATACTGCATGAGTCCAGCTGAAGACCTGGAGCCTATGACAATGACTCCTATGAGTCCAACTGGAAATGTGGAGTCCATGACAGTGACTCATACAAGACTGTTTCATGGATCTGTGCTGGGAAGGTCTCAAGGTCAGCAATGGAAGCTAGAAAGTCTGTACCAGTGGGATGAAGGATCCATGTCAGTAGGCTGAGGTTCTGCACTGGAGTTAGGAAGCAATGCTCAAAGTAACAACCAGAGCTCCCCTTACCACAGGTGTGGTAAACTACCACAGCTGTCCTTAGTGACAATGAGTCCTGAGCTCCTCTGATGTTGAGAACAGCCATGCTC